ACTGTTTGAAAAGGTCATAAATCTCTTCATCTTTCTAAAGTAGACATTGCAGTTGGAACATTAGAATTATTGTATTGTCAGTTGACAACAATTCAAGCTGTCAAACATTTTGAGTACCAAGATGATGGGGCTTCCAACATAAGAGCAACATGATCAAATTAAGGCCCCAGTGGAAGGGGGATATTCCTGCCTGCTGCCTGGTGTTGGTGCCCTGCAGAAAATATCAATTTGCTAAACTGGCAACCAAGTCCCCATCCCCATCAAAAGGTCCGCTGGGATATCCATATTCATGAATGGGAATATAGTATTTCACATTTCTTCAACAAATCTTACAAGAATTTCCTACAATCTCATTAACTATTCACATGAGGGAAATATAACAGGTTCCAATTGGATCACCTAACCAGGTCAACATGAGCCTAATCCGTCAAACCATTTCACCGCCAATTTATGCTACACCCCACGTGCAACCCAATCTCTTGCACTTGTTACCCACCGCACCCCCACACCCCATTGAATATGACAAATTGTCCACGTGTGATTAACACGTGCATGAATCCAACACTATACTATACTATACTATGACATTGACATTTCTAGATTAAAAATGTTTTGGCCCGCAAATAAGGACCCTCTTCTTCTTCTTGTGTTTTGTTTTGGGTCTTTGTATTAGATATGATGATTAAAATGGCTTCTGTAGAAACGCGAACATGTCCTGCAAAGGTGAAAGCTGGTCCATCTGATACTGAACTTGACTTCCAAACGGGTCATCTTGGAATCCATCCATGTAATTGAACTGAAAATCAAGGGCACTGCTCAGCTCATTCCACTTTGGTTCACTTTGGACCTCTTTCTCGCACGTGATTTCAGGGGACAGGACGTGCTCCGACGAACTTGAATCGGTATGCAACCTCGGGACAGAATCTGAACCATCATCCGTCGGTGGTTGATCATTCATCATGGTGGACATTAATGATGGTTGTTGTGACAGCGTGGTAATGTTTTGACCATTCATTAAGATGTTCGGTTTCTGATCTTCCATTTCTGGGTAACCAAACCATTTCTGTTCACTTGGGAAATGCTTCTGTTCACTTGGGAAATGCTTCTCAATGCTCCCCTTTTTGTTATATATCCGGCATAGTACCCAATCATCAAGCTGCAATAAACACAAAGCAACCCACCGATCAGAGAAAAGTGACAAACCAATTGGCTAAAAATTCAACGAACAACTAAGAAATAGATCTTTGTTGGTCAAATGGGGTTAGGTGTAAAGCAATGCAGCTCATGGTAGCGTGGCCATTAATTGCTTTTGCAACTTGCAAAAGATGATAAAATCCATTGTGCCCACTTGCCATTATGGTATGGACTAGCTAGCAAATATTCTAATCCCAAGAACCTAGAAAGTTTGAAAAACTGTTAAATTTGCGGTCAAAGGTGTGGCCGGTTGGCAACTTTCATCTACGAAGAGTGAAATGTCCATTTTGGACCTCAGAAATATTACTAAAAACATAAAAGGCGAGATAGAACATATACCCTCAAGTTGCCGCTCTTTTTGCCAGCGGACCTGTCAACATTGGCGAGGCGGTATTCATGCATGATCCAATTGGTTTTGACACCGCGTGGGGCTTTGCCAGCGTAGAAAACGAGTGCCTTTTTTATGCCCAGTGGCTTCGGCTTCCCGATGGGCTTGTCAGCACCAGTTGCCTTCCAATATCCGCTTCCGGCCGCCCTGTTTGGCCGGCTCCCGTTTGGATATTTCCGGTCCCTTGGGGAAAAGAAATACCACTCTTTTTCACCGTACAACGCCATATCTACACCAAATTTAAGAACAAAATTAATTAATCTCTCTTCTATGTAATTAGCCCAAAACTAATTCAATAAGGAAAAAATTGTTTGAATTTTCTTGTTTGTTACTTGAACTGATAAATCGCAAGCAAAATTGCTGCATTTTTTGCCAAATTAAAGAAAAAATTACTGCTTTTTTCTTTTTGCTTGAATAATGAAATACCCATATACTTTTAATGATGAAATCAGTCAAAACCTATGAAAATTAGAACCGAATCCCAGATGCCCATTTCCCAAAACCAAACAAATCGACCAAATTCACCACGCAAAATTGAAAAAGAAAAAAAAAATACCTGGAAGCTGCCATGGATCAAACTTGTAGAGATCAATCTCGGCAATAATGGGCACAGCAATAGGCCGAGATGCACATTTCCTACACAAATAATGATTCACCAACTCATCATCTGTAGGATGAAATCTGAATCCCGGTGGCAACTCTAACTCTCCCTTCATTCTCTTGAAGAAAATTTCTCTTTTTTCACTAACTTCCCTTGAGCTTCTCCTTGGAAACCCTTTTGCCTTGTTTCTTTCCTGTTTGTGTTCTTCCTCTCTCTGCTCTGCTTCGCTCCTTTTGCTTCTTTGCTTGCTTTGCTGCTTTGTGTCTTTGGAGGTTGGAACTTGAACCAGAGAGCAAGTGAGAAGAAAGGTTTTATAGAGAAAATAGACACGTGCGGCTGTCTTTGAGAAACCGAAACGTGGGTACAGCAGTGCAGCGACCGTTTTTCTTTCGTAGCTGACCGCAGCCCTTAGAAAAAGAAAGAAAAGGATGAGCCACGTGGATGTGCTTTATTGGTGTAGATTTATTTTGTCATGGCTTCCGTCACGGACTTTGGACGGTTCCGCAAGTTGGCTCAGCGCCTCTTCATCATCGTTGACTGTCGTTGGGTGACGGTCAAAACTTTTTACTTCTTACTCGCTTTCTTCCTTATTTATCCTGTGCCTGCCTTATTAGTAAATCACCTGATGCCACGTTCATAGATTGCAAACAATCAATCCTTCGTTCTATTCAGTAAAAAATTATCGATCTAATTTTCTGGGAGCACAAAAAACCCGAGGAGAAAATAAGTTATTCCGATGCATAAAATGGTGATGCCTAAGCCCATATTCTAAATTAAAATAATAAACGCAGGGAGAAGCGAGGGCCGTTGGATGGATTTCTTGGAGGGCAAGTATGGATGCAACCAGTGGCGAGTGCAGGAGGATAAGGTGAGGTGATTGGCAGGCGATATTGAAAAGTTCCAACGCTGGAAATGGAATGGAAAGACGTCATGGGTCAAAACAGGATCTCACGTAATGGAGACAACGTCATCCCTCCGCTGGGTTTTGATCCAGTCTGCTCTTTCTTAGTTACAGAATAATCTCTCTGCCCTCGATCAAAAGGACCTCGAACTTAAACTGTAGGGCCCCACTGCACCATCTTGTCCCGACTTGATTGAGACATCATGTCCCTACTCCCTTCTTCTGTCCTTTTTTTTTTTTTTTAAGCATGTTCATAACAAAATATATAATCATGGTAAATTCATATTGTAACACTGTTTTACGAGATATTTAAATTGAAAGTTAATTTAAATTTAGTTTAAAATATTGTTAATTTTATTATTGAATTATATATATATATTTGGGAATTTAGAGATTCAACCCCTAACAATGGTATGAATATTGAGCCTTTTAAGGATAGATATGGATTGACTTTTATGGCCTACGAATATTTGCGTTCATGAAATTAAAAAGTGTGGACTATAAATCACCTTACTTTGAATTTTGATTTCCATAGCTGAGTTTTGAAATTTGAAAGGAAAGCATGGAAAAGGCTTTACCGGTGAAGCTTTATCATAAGTATACCTTGAATATACTGGCATGGAGCGAAGCTCGAAACGTGGACAAGGAAGGATATATCATATAGATATGCTTAGAACATGTTGGCCTGGAGGAATTCTTTTTTGGATCGATGCCTAGTTCGGCCTTCTGTAGGAAACTATTCTACAAATTAATCTCATGTTACCAAATAACATGTTGGTTTATTCAGGAAATTTTTTTGTTTTCGTTTTAAATTTTGATTTCATGGAAAATGACACATAAATTATAAATTTATAAAAAGAAAAAATGACATAATAATAAAATACACAGCTTGAACATGATTAATTTGAAAATCAAACTTTGAAATTATTGGCACATGAAATAATTTATATTTTAAATAACTCGAATTTGAAATAACTAAAATTCATAATTATCTAAACTCGTGATTATCCAATTAGATATGATGAGAGAGAGATAAAGAGCATAACCATAAACTATATACTTCAAAAAAAGGCTGGAAAACATAAATATCTAAATTTTTAAAAAAATTAGACATCGGTTTAAAAAATTTATTTTGTTTTACATATAATAACTTTAAAATTCTGTTTGATTGGTGCCTTTTTTTTCTTTAAAAAAATGAAAAATTATACACAAAACATACACTAATGTTTTAGACAGAAAAATGCATGATTTTACTTACATATGATATAATTGGTGTTACATTTTAATTATTGATCCATTTTAGTTCATTTATCTATTATTTTGGTTCCATAGCAATTCTTCAAAACAATAAATAATAAATAACAAGAAGGAAATAACAAAGATACAAATCAAATGGAGCTTAAATAATTCACTCTCACCATATTTAATGAAAAAACAAATAATACAAGTAGGTAAGACATGAAGGGAGATCCTACCACCCGACCTCATTTGACCCACGCAACCTTTAAGAGCCTATTGTATAAGCCAAAAGCTCGTGTTTTAAGTAAATCATTAATTAATTAAAAACTTTAAAATTTAGTCTGATTCAGTGAAAGAATCATGAATAGAATTAAAAAAAAAATTAAAGGCATGCATTGAGGTTAATCTTACTAATTAATCACTAAATTAAACTTAGTAAAAAAAACAATATAACTATTTTTCATTCACTCATATAATAATTTATAATATATTTAAAAGAGAGTTCCGTCGAGACTTTCAAAATTGATTATGTGGAGGGCAGGGAGAGAGAGAAAAAGAGGAACGATGTTGAAGTCTAAGAGAGGCGACGCAAAAAGGCCAGCGTGCTGCACAAGGGTCATACTCTAGTAATAATAATAAGTCTACCCCTGGCCTTTCATAACCTGATATGATCAATTGACAGAGAGAGAGACTGGACAGACCGGAGGGTCAAAATTTACAGTTAAGAGTTGAAACATTAGGGGAAACCATACGCTGATTGGTGTAATTCTAATTGTTAAACGAGTTCTGACATGGGGAATGACCTCTGCTTGGATAAGGATATGTGAGTGGAAGTTACTAGGATGTTGCCGACCTCCATCGTATTAGCCTTTGCCTTGTGGTGAAGGATTTATCTGGCCTAAAGCTTTATCAGACTACTGATTCCCTTTCCTGGGGCCCCTATCTATTGTGAAGTGGAAACCCGTTTAGTCTAAGACCTTAATATTCTAATTAATGTCTGAAAACTACAGTTAATTAATTTATTAATGACCACAATCCTTGGACCAAGGGGAGTTAGCCAAGTTGCATAAAACGCCGCCGAACTTTGGAGTCGATGAGAATAAATATTGGATCATGAATATTATCAGAAAAACATCAGTGTCATGGAAAAAAAGGCATGGGACCACTTAGAAACAACAGCAGGTAGGTGTAGATGTAGATGTAGATGGTCCAAGTGAAATGAACATTATTTGGTTACTAATATTTAAAAAGATAAATAAATAAATGCAAGGAACCCACGTTCTGTGATGCTTCTTGTGATTTTCATGCTGCAGCCGCTTCTCCCCAGGTTGCCGACCTTGACTGTATCAGTCGACTTGTCTTTTTCTGTGTCTGCCACAGTTACACTGACTGCCTCCCTATGCTCAGTACATCTATTTGGTTCTTTTGTTTTTTCTTTTCGTGACGATTAATGAATGGTTTCTAAGTTCAGTCCAACTTAGCTATTATAAATCTTCGTAAGGGATGTCATCAGTTTGGGGGTTATAATACAACCAATTCACTACATGGGGATATATACGTATATATATTTTGATAGGTTATCTAAAAGATATGATAATTGATACCTGTTTAATGCAAATTTAGGCGTCTAGTTTATAGTAAAATTTGAAAATTTTGAACTATAATTTTTAGATGTATTTATTTATGTCTTTACTTGCAATTCAAAAGCATAATTTTATGTTTTTAAATATTTAATTTAATGATAAACGAAAATTGTATTTTTTATGTAAAATTTTTAAAAATTGAATCGTTCATTCTCTCCATCTATAATAATAATAGTAAAGCATAATTTTGTCTCTATTATTTGAGCTAATGAGTCCATGATTGGGAGTGTTCTTATAAACGTGGAGGTTGGGCGCAGGCCCATAACAAGAAGGCTTACATTAGACTGGGCTTTGTTGGAAGAAGAGTATCCTTCTCAGTCCTACTGGAAAGAAAATGAGACAAGTTCATAACTACTCAGAAGGATACAATGTTTACAGACAAAGAGTTGGTTTAATTTCTTTAATTTCAAAATTCAAAGATTTTCTCCTTACCAAATAGGGTCTCACTGATATGGATTTGATTTCTACACTCCCAAATTTCAAAGTATTATTTATTTCCTATGAGTTCCTACTATCTCCATTCCAATGTATTTTGAATTCACAATTTTATCTTGGAAAGACATTCTAACATTGGGTTTCAGCTTACAAGTTTTTATTATCAATGTGGGGCTGAGAGGGTTCACGTACAAGTGACAATTAGCTAGTAAAACAAGTAAAGCTTGGGTCCTAATATCTTACTGCTGGGGCTCTTGTTTCCTACGTTAAATAAAACGTTACGCCAAGATGTATTCGGAACCAACATTAGGACACAAGACATGACACCTTCCACTTTTAGTTTCACATCTTTGTCATGAACGAGGAGCTATAAATTGGGTGAATACATATTTATGAAATTAAAATTTAAATTTGAGACTTTAGTTGAGACAACATATTAATTAGCTAGATGACGTGCTATTCTAAAAGCTTATATATATAGGTTCTGAAGTGAATACTTCCAGGAATTGCAAACCTTTGGATTCCTTTCCCTACCTAGCATATATATGTATGTATTTATATACACCAGCTAGCCCAAGCTCACCAGCCTACCACCAACCCTGCTGTGAGGTGACTTCTTGTTTCTTTAACATATATCCCGCCAGAGATTTGCAATATTGGCTCAAATGTATCTTGTTTGTAAAGGCCATAGCTGAAAGTTAAGAAGCTGTCGTCCCAGCTGATGAGATGGTCTGGTGGATATATTTGGTTGCTGCAGTAGTGTTGGTCGTCAGCAGAGAAGGCTGCCGCGTTGAGGGAGAAGATGTTGTCACGTATGATGGAAGATCTTTAATCATTAATGGCCAAAGGAAAATTCTCTTCTCTGGTTCCATTCACTATCCTCGCAGCACTCCTCAGGTAATCAATCTTCTTTCATCTCCTCTCTCCGGCAATGCCCTCTTTCTTTCTTTCTTGCTTGCTTTTGTCTTATACCTAGCAACCATAATTACACATTGGTAATGATCTTTTGTTAATTAAATTCCTGCATCTTTTTAATTTCCTGATCAGACATGGCCAATTATTGCCAAAGCTCACAAGTCGAAACTACTGTGTGCATGGGACGTGTATTAATTAATATAAATAATTATGGAAGAGCGTTACATTGAATTATTATTTAATCACTTTAAACTTTAATCAATGGATCACTTTATTTTGATTATTACATTTGTCTGATCGAATCCTAGGTTCTACTTCTTCTTGGGGCTAAACTCATGTAATTAGATTTCAATAAACTCCACGAGCTGTTGGAAAGGAAAAGTAAGGAAAGGAGCTTATTATTAATTATGACACCACGTAGAGACAATGGAAATTCACGTTGTAAAGACAGGTAAGGGTGAGCTAATGAATTGTAGCCTTTTTCCCTTCCATCATTAAGTTTGGCATTCTCTTCTATCAATGAATGTCGACAACAGCAACAAGCATATATCACGCTTTTCTTTCTCTTTCAATGCAAAAAAAAAAAAAAAGAGAGTCGTTTTAGCATGAAAATTCTTCTTCTTTTATCGAAACGTAGGGCATGAGGTGGATCGATCACGGGCGCATTTTTCAGTGGCAGGTGCGTCCTGCTTTCCGTGAATAGGTTTTGTCCGTATACACATATGTGGCTCATCGTAGCTACACATTTTTCTTAAGATTTGTCTCTTGTTTTGTCTATGGGCATCGATCTGCTTAGCTTGCAAGTAGAATTGGTTCGGCAGTTAAAACTTGAGTAACTCTAATTATTGCTGATATCTATTTCATATTAATTGGGATGATGATTGGTGATTATATATATTAAAGGAACTTTAAATAGATGACCCTTATAAACTTATCAACGTCACTCTCATGAATGCTTAATGAAGGCAAAAGGGTGCCATATGGTTTAAGTAGAATAAATAATATGCAGATGTGGCCAGCTTTGATAGCCAAAGCAAAAGGAGGAGGAGTTGATGTGATTCAAACTTACGTGTTTTGGAATTTGCATGAACTTCAACCCGGTCAGGTCAGAAGATTCAAAATTCAATTGTCTACAAAGATATATATATGTATATGCATGTACTGTATATTTTACAAAATATTTTTATCATTTTGTATTAGGCAGTATGACTTTAGTGGAAGATATGATTTGGTTAAATTCATGAAAGAAATCCAAGCACAAGGGCTCTATGCTTGCCTTAGGATTGGGCCTTACATTGAGAGTGAATGGACTTATGGGTAAGTTGATCCACCCTTTATTCATAAACTTGACTACTTTCTCACATTCGGCTCACATTCATTAACGTGGGCTATTTTGAATCGGAATTGTTAAAGGGGATTTCCATTTTGGTTGCATGATGTCCCTGGCATCGTGTATCGAACAGACAACGAACCTTTTAAGGTACATTTCGACTCTCTCATTTAGGTCCCTCGCTCTTTTTCCTTCTTCTTCCCACTTATTTCTGGTTCCTTCTTGCAATGATGACAATGATAGTAAAGGGTATAAACCCACACTACCTTTTCCTTTTATATTTTATTACCTATGATTTTGCTGCTTGTATAGTACTACATGCAAAACTTTACTGCAAAAATAGTGAACTTGATGAAGTCAGAGGGTTTATATGCTTCGCAAGGGGGCCCAATAATACTATCACAGGTAAATTCATCAGAGATAGACCTAATCAATTCTATCATAATCTTCAAACAGATTTATAAGTTTTTATTGGCAAGACTAACAAAATATGTGTATATATATGTAGATTGAGAATGAATATCAAAACATTGAAGCAGCTTTTCATGAAAAGGGAGCTGCTTATGTTCGATGGGCAGCAAAAATGGCAGTCGACCTTGGAACTGGCGTGCCATGGATAATGTGCAAGCAAACTGATGCTCCTGATCCAGTGGTTGGTCCTATTTATCTCGTTCTTCCTTTGGAATTAATGTTCTTGATTTGTTTATTGACAAACATATCTAAAAATATGTTGATTGTTAATGGTTTTGTAGATTAATACATGCAATGGTATGAGATGTGGAGAAACTTTTGGAGGGCCCAACTCACCAAACAAGCCATCCATGTGGACAGAAAACTGGACATCTTTGTAAGCTTTGTTTACCAAATTTCTACTATGCTTTAATTTATTTCTTTAAAGGAAGAAAGAAAACCAAGTCACTTCGACTTCAAGTGATAAATGACCATAGAAGTTTGGATAAAGATCTTATCTATATCCTATAAGATGCAAGTTTTACTTAATTATAAGTTGTTATAATTGAAAATCAATATAAGCATGCCAAAATATGAATGTTAGTATATATTTTTTATCTATTACAATTGCATTTATAAAATGTAATTTCTGAATGTTGCTCACACCTAAAGCATATACTTGAAAATGAAATTTGGAAAATTTTTATTATGGCAGCTAATTCTAATCCTTTTTGAAGCTATCAAGTATATGGAGGAGAGCCATACATAAGATCAGCTCAAGATATTGCATTTCATGTTGCACTTTTCATAGCAAAAAGGGGAAGTTACATAAATTACTACATGGTAAGGCTATTTATGATTCATTGGGCTAAGACCCACTCAACATTTTAATATCTCTATGTTGTTCACTTGTTATACAACAATTGCCTTCCTTGCAAAGTTAATTTTCAAGCACATTAATTGCCCTTATAGTTTTTCCATATTAATATGGCTTTTCTTGATGAAAACCATCCCCTTCTTTTCTCCGTATCTAACATGAATTTCTTGATGAAACCTTCAAACCTAGTACCATGGTGGAACGAATTTTGGGAGGACGGCATCTGCTTACGTGATCACGAGTTACTACGATCAAGCTCCTCTTGATGAATATGGTGAGTTAATTAATTAGATGTAGTTTTATCTTTCCCAGTTTCTTTCATAAAGTAATTTGATTGTTGGAATGAGAACTACTTCAGGTTTGCTAAGACAACCAAAATGGGGTCATCCTAAGGAATTGCATGCTGCAATAAAGAATTGCTCTACCCCTTTACTGGAGGGAGTGCAAACCAATTTCTCCATAGGTCAATTTCAACAGGTGAACTCCATAACACTATACCATATATTATCCATTGCACAGCAAAATGTTTCAGAAGAATTATCCTGTCGGAGCAACAAGCCAACAACTAACGTTATGCTTTGATTTTGATTCAGGCTTATGTTTTTGAAGAAGGAAGTGGAGGCTGTGTTGCATTTCTTGTGAACAATGATTCAACGAACAATGCTACTTTGCAATTCCGGAACAATTCGTTTGAATTGTTGCCAAAGTCCATAAGCATTCTACCAGACTGTCAGAATATAATTTTCAACACTGCAAAGGTAAGTTGTGGTTCAACTATATGTTCATCCGTAAATAATTATGTATTAATTCACCAATAATTTAGTTTAATTAGCATTAATGTCAGGTAAACACACAGCCGAATGAGAGAATTATGACGCCAAGCAAAATGTTTGATGCAGTTGATAGCTGGGAAGAATTCAGAGATGTCATCCCAAACTTCTTGGATACCTCACTGCAAGCAAATTCATTGTTAGAGCACATGAATACAACCAAAGATGGATCTGATTACCTTTGGTATACTCTCAGGTATCATATACTATTATTTCAGAAATACCCCTTTCTCTTTTTTTGACCAAATTGAACAAATTTATGGAAGAAATTAATGTTAACAAACAACATGCTGAAAGCAGCTTTCAACCCAATTCATCTTGCACTGAACCTGTGCTTCACATTGAGTCCCAGGGACATGTTGTGCATTCCTACATCAACAACAAATTTGTAGGTACAAATTTTTATTTTTCTTAATGTAAAATTATAACAATTTATGGTTGATCCTAAGTAATCTAGAATTGAATTTGATTTAGATGAAAAGAATACCATTTAAAAAGTATAGTATGCCATTTAAGTAGCTAGAAAAATATTAAATGCTGATCTCTTCTTTTCCTCAGAAGCTGGACATGGGAGCCATAATATTAAAGGCTTTACTATGGATATTCCAGTTGACCTAATTGATGGTATGAACAATGTATCAATACTCAGTGTTATGGTTGGATTACCGGTAATTAATCTCTCTCAAGCCAGAAACTATATTATATATTGTAGGAACTACTCTTTGAACTCCAACTATATTAAGGTATGATTATAAGTCAAGTCATGCTGTCATTATATGATTTTCCTTTAACAGGATTCAGGACCTTTCCTGGAGAGCAGATTTGCTGGATTGACAAAAGTGGAAATTGAATGCAATGAAACAGAGTTATATGATTTTACCAATTATACATGGGGATATCAGGTTTTCCTTTTCCTAAAACACTAGGCACTACTAGCCAATAGAAAAATAGAATATTTCACCAGGGCAATATTAACAAATTGTGTATGTATAGGTTGGTTTGCTAGGGGAGAAGTTACAGGTGTATAAAGAAGAAAATTTAGATGAAGTGGAGTGGAGTGGTGAGATTGATCATTCTGCCAATCAGTCACTCACTTGGTACAAGGTAAAATATAATTCATGACAGAGCTACATAATCTCCCATACATGTCCATACATTAACATGGATGGAGTTTTTGGATGTCTCATGACAGTTAAGCCTTAGCTTACTTATAACCAAATATGGTAAAATTTTGCATTTTCTTTACAGTAACTTTTGATATAATATAATAACAAAAAGAAAACTAACATTTTCCAACAATTCCATGTGATTTGCCAGACTGTTTTTGATGCACCTACTGGAGATGATCCCATTGCCTTAAACCTAAGCACAATGGGAAAAGGAGAAGTTTGGGTGAATGGACAAAGTATTGGTCGCTATTGGGTTTCATTCCATACTTCCGAAGGAGTTCCCTCACAAACTTTGTAAGTATTCATTGCACCTTCCAATATTATATATTATATAAGTTACAGTGACATATTTATGTCACAGATTGATTCATTACATATTGTTTAAAGAAATGCAAAACTAACAGCTACATACTCTCTTTTGGTTGATATTGCAGGTACCATGTGCCTCGAGCATTTCTCAAACCTTCTGGAAATCTATTAATTGTACTTGAAGAGTTGAATGGAGATCCTCTTCATATCTCATTACACACCATCTCAGTTGCTGATTTTGATTCACAAACTCCTTACAATCACCTCCCTCGATAATATATATAACCTTGTTAATGTGTATGCAGTCACCATGTTGGTTAACATATAAACCACTTATCTATAAGTCATTTCCAGCGTCTAAAATTCTTTGTTCCGTATAGAAATAATTGCAGCTTTAGTGCTGAATTTATTACCAAGTGTTCAATTTGGTACATAAACATACAAAAAAAAAAATGACAGATACAACGTAGTACTCTAACTTTGGTTTTGTCTAATAGAATACTGTAAAAGCCCATTCGGTAGTCTGAGACGTTGGCCCATACATGCTCTGAGCAATCGCATGATTCGGCCACTGACAGTCTGGCACCCATAGCCACAAGCCAATGTCGGACCCTAAGGTTCGGTGGGGTACCCGCAGAGCCATTCAATTTGTCTTTTCGGAATAACCAATGGCAATCTATGCTTGCAGTTGGCAGCTCATCAAATCTGTCCTCTTCAGTATTCAAAGAATTTGGAATGCCGTATTTGTTCTTCCTCAGAAGGATTTCAAGAAACTGGTTCAGCTTTTCTTGGAAAGAATAGATTGGGTCTGCAAGAGGGCCCCCAGTTCAAAGCGACTCGATCTGCCTTCCCAAATCGGAAGGAGTATACGAAGAATCAAAAATCCTATTAATTGGAAGACTGCAAGCACGTTCAAGCGTATTTGGGCTGTTTTAACTAGGTCTGGCCCCCTTTGGGAGGCCTGGATCCAAGTTTAATTGCTAAACAATTATTCGTGAATTTTTTTAATTTATCAAATAAATATCATTTGTGAGTAAGGGTTATCTCAATATTGGCCAAAAAAACATTATTCTTTCTTACATTCACCAAATAATAATTTTTTTAAAAAAACAAAGAAACATACTTCCACAAAGTAAATTTCAGCAAAAATAATAAGTGAAGTATTAAACCTTAATGTCCCAAAACTTTTGTCATCCAAGTGTGAAACGATGCCAAACAATGACAGCTGGAGCAATGCTGTCATGGGAAATAATCTTGGTATCTAACTAATCAAGTCTCCATGTTACGTTGTTAATATATGTTTCTCTCATTGTCGGTCCGTCGGTTCACAAACTTGGGACATGACCCATTTTCCTAAAACCCCAATAATAACAATAATAATATATTGTCTCTCACATTGATTTTATTTTTATGGATTGAATCGAGATTGGAGAGCTACTTGATTTGGTAACACTTAAACAGATATTTTGTTGACGTGGGGCCTCAATTAAGGTCTCGGGATCATATCTCGGCGTTACTTTTGATTTTTTGGATTCATGTACTTGGGTATTCTGTTTAATTTTAGTATTAAAATTGTCAAGATTATTGACGAATGGGATTGATCCTAATGTTACATGATTTGTCGCCTCGCTTTTATAGTATTTGTTGGGCACCTGAGGGATTCTATGGATCTAATTCACAAAATGATTTATTTTTTTAATTAATGTTTTTGTATAAATTAAGAAAATTCTATTTATTTATTATTGTATTGACCTTCTGAGGTGGAGTATCTAATAACAATTAAAAAAACAAAGAGTAGATCAATGTTGCCCTATACACGTGATGCAATATATTATTATTGAATGGACACTTTTAACTATGTCCGGTTAATTCCTTCAGTTTTATCTATTTAAATTAAATTTATTATTAAAATATTAAAAACATATTTTATATTAATATTTTAAATATATTTCAAAAATTAACATTTAATAAAAATTTTTATTAAATATAATAATGATTTAAATCAAACCCGAATTTTTGAAAACTTTACCCAAGTCAATCAGGCGATCAATGGCCTTTCTCGCCCAAAGACAAAATTTATTTTCAAAAAATATCTAATTACTTTTATTTTTTAAAGTTCAATTATAATTAATATTAAAAATAAATACTTCATTTCAAAACAATATATAAAAATTTCATAAAAAATAATTATAATTATAAAATAAAAATATATAAAAATTTTCTCAATCATCGTTATGATCGGCATCGATGCAATACAAAAATAGATAAAGGCGTGTGAAAGTGAAGGCATTTTTCCACATGATTGCATCAAATACTTTTGAGCATGAACCTCCGTCCTTTTCAAAGAAGTGTCGAGGAAGCGGGAGGGTTGAAAGAAAAGGTAAATACAACTAGCTACCTACAAAAGGCCACTCGGATGGATGCCTTGACGGCTAAGGCAAGAATTGGGTCCAATTTTCCTTTCCCAAACATTTATCCCAAAAAAAAAATGAATTTTGATATATTAATATCATAAAAATTATAATATATATATTTTTAATTTTGTTGATGGGAAAGCCGAAATCTTTTTATTATATGCTAGAGATGTTGCATTCAACACAAGTGTGACCTGCAAGCGTCAGCATTGTCAAACAATGCACATGCACATTAAACAACAAATAAAAGAGCATTGCATCTCTCTTATAAGTTTTGAATGAATTGTTTCATATCAATAATAATTATTTCTAATAAAAGTTCAAATGTCATAGTCCATGTTACTATTACACATGATGTTACATCCATATATAAATATAAACTTTCCTTCAATTTTGGGTTTATGACATACATTAATCTCTATAAATTCCAAATACATGTCACCCATTATAATGACATAAAAATAGCATTCCCCAAATAAGAACAATCTATGGACTATGGGTTTATAATTTTATTAGTTATTATTATACTATATTTTTTTTGGCAAAAAGCTGAGAAATTTGGTTTTTATTAAAGAAAAAAAAGAGATTAGTTTTAAGTAAGAAGAATTTCAATCACTAAGAAGTGTTTATAGGATTTCATTTTTGTTCGTATGAATAAAAGCTTTTTGAAAAGACTTTTTTGTGAGATATAATTCGATGGTAAGAATTTAGATTTTTAATTTAAAAATTTTGAATTCAAATGTTAAAAATAATAAAATATGGATTATTATACATAAAATTTAAAGTTAATATACAAATTTGGATTGAAGGTATTGATATTTGGCAAATGTTTTTCATTTTTTTAATATTAAGTATCTATTACATATGATCGATGAAATAAGGATAGTCATTAAATTTGAAAAGATATAATGTTTTGAAAAAAATTAAAATTATTTAAATTTTTTTTATTTTTTATTATATTTAATCAAATACTTATATTTTCATTAGTGACGTTGTTAGTTAAGTTTATTCAATTTAAAATAAAAATATAAAAAGTTAATTAAATATAATAAAAAAAATAAGTATTTATTTAAAATTTTTTGAATAATTCAAAAACTTTTTAATTATTATGTCATTTGAAAACCTTTATTTTCTCTTTCCAAAGAAGTCTAGAGTTTTATTGAAATTATTTTTTTTTGAAAAAACTTTCAATAACAAGAAACATCTACTTTCCAATTTATTTAACTTAATTATTCAATTTATCTTATTTATCATATTAATAAAATGTTTTGCAATAGTAGATATACGTGGTAATTAAGAGAGAAAGCTGATTTTTTTTTCTTACATTTATCATCTAGGCAAATGTAATTTCTTCGTTTAGTCAAACTTAACACTTCGTAAGATAGTGATATGGATATTTGTTGGGGATGGAGTCATGGAGATGAAAGGGCAAGATTTGTCAGCTAACTCAAAACGCGGCAAATCTTTTCATTTCCCCACAATTACCCACTCCCTCCCACACCTGTCACTCTGCCTGTCTCAGCAATGCTAATGCACATGAATTCATCGACCTTTTTCTTCCTATAAATAAATGTAGAAAACAAAAATCAAGCTCAGCTCAAAAAAATCCAAAGAAGATGAAGCTTTTCCTTCTTCTCTTGATTTGTTTCTTTACTTTGTTCAACTCTTGTTCTGCTGCCAATGTAACTTATGATCGCCGCTCTCTCATTATCGATGGACAACGCAAGCTCCTCATCTCTGCTGCCATTCATTACCCCCGCAGCGTTCCTGGGGTTGGTTTTTTAATCCTAATCTAAATGGGGCTTAATTGGTCCCTCTTTTTAGTTTGATTTTGCGCTTTCTGATGTACATTCTGCATTTTACTTCCACTTTATCCATTGGGTTTTGCTTGTTACTTTACTTGATGCTAAGATTATCTCAATATCTAACCTTTTCACTCTTCAGTTTAATACCAATGTCATATGATTGATGTTACAATCTCTATGGGTGCAATGTTTTTTGTAATGGGTTTTTCGTCGTCATTTAATTGCTTGTTTCTTTTTATTATGCATTGTGGATTGTTTTTTAGTATTTGGTTTTATAAATGGTCCTCTTTGATGAGCTCAATCTGTAATATGGCAGATGTGGCCAGGGTTGGTTCAAACAGCTAAGGAAGGAGGGGTTGATGTCATTGAATCTTATGTGTTTTGGAATGGACATGAGCTTTCTCCTGGAAAAGTGAGTGCTTCAAATCTGTTGCGGTGCTTCGTAGGACCAAGATTGCTCATAATGTGATACATTTTTGTTGACTAAGCACAAAGTTTCTGCCCCTTTGATTGTGAATTTGTAGTACAATTTTGAAGGACGATACGATCTGGTCAAGTTTGTAAAGATTGTTCAGCAAGCTGGGTTGTATATGATTCTTCGAATTGGCCCATTTGTCGCAGCTGAATGGAATTTTGGGTGTGTTTACATTTTATCATAGATTTAAAAAAGCTGTCATTTTGATGCTTCAAATCATTGAATTATGCATTTTTTAATATTTAACAGTATTAAAACATGTTGGAGCTATGGATTCCTTGAGTAGATTTTCTAAAATGTGCATAATACAGGGGGGTACCTGTCTGGTTGCACTATGTCCCTGGTACTGTGTTTCGATCTGATAGTGAGCCCTTCAAGGTGAGATTAAAACTCTTGGTGTCTCAGATTAGGAATAGTGGCCTAGTAGTTATCTGTATTTTCATTGTTAGCTGTTAATATTTTGTGCTTTAGTTGTTGCTTTATGCAACTCTGTATGATTGCCAACGTATTGACTTGGTTGCTTGTTGCGGTTTAGTATTACATGCAGAAGTTCATGACAGTCATAGTGAACCTTATGAAGCAAGAGAAGCTTTTTGCATCACAAGGAGGTCCAATCATCATGGCCCAGGTAAGTATAAAATTAAAACTTGGAAGTAGCTTTAGCTGAAGATTTCTTTTTGAGCAAACTGATTTGAACTGTGTATTAAAGTGGGTGCAGCTGCGTTACTCTCCAATCTACTACTCTCCAATACGTTTCTTATCACCATTCACATGTATCATGTGTGGGGTTCACAAGTCATGGTTTGGTACAACATATGTGAATGGTGATGATGGATGCATTGAAAAAGTAATGGACAAAAAAGTGACAGAGGGGATCCAAGTCCATTGAAGTGGTGACAAAATCCCACATTGATTAAATTTTGGGTATCCATCTATTATCCCTACATGTGAGGGGGAGCGTTAAGTGGTGATAAAAATCCTACAACAATCAAGTTTGCGGTATCCTGGGAGCACACTAATATAACAAGGACCTCTTCCTCTATTGCCATTTGACTTTTAGGTTGGATGCCTCCCTAAAATTTAACATGGTAATAGGCTTTGCCGCTTTTGTTGGCCCCTCGGTGATAGGTGTCATGCCTAGATGTTAAGTCCATGCCACATAATTGGCCCATTATCCCTACATTTGAAGTACATGTTGCATGATAGGTCCCTTGTCCATCACATGAGGGGAGTATTAAAGTGGTGATGAAATCCCTCATTGAATAAATTTGGGATCCCATAGTGAATAAAGGTTCGAGCAATTTGTACTAGAGTAGTACAGAGGTTAAGGAAATTTCTTAACA